AAAAGCTCCAAAGGCAGGGATCTTGTCTTACTGTCCTGCCCTCAGGACGTGGAAGAGTGCTTGGCAAATATGGGTGCCCGGTGATACCTTATGCGTCAATTAATGACATCTTGGCACTCCCTCAAATGGGCCATGCTCCACCCAGCACAGATCTTTTTCCTGTGATATTCCCTCAGCCTGAACCTCTTTCTGTGGCCCACAGCCCTTTGCATTTTGATGCCTTTGTTCCCCTACAGATCTCAGCTCATGGTCATTTCATTCATGAATGCCACCTGTCAATCACTCAGTCAACTCGTAGCTTTGTTGTAGTTCCAGGCACTGGGGAAAGAGCATGAGCAGAGCAGACCGAGCCCTTGCTCTCGTGGAGCTCACAGTCCCATGTGGGCATAGACATGTGTTTGTGTGTGTTCACGTGTTAGATCATGGCTAACATGGGGAAGAGAACTTCAGCATGGTAGGGGTGAAGAACAGTGGTGGTTGAGGTAGGGTGATCAAGAAGGGTGTCTCTGAAGAGGTGACAGTTGAGCATTTGAGCGTGACAAATGAAACCATGTGGGGTCTAGAAAGTCCTCCCCAGCCACCCTGCCCTGACTAGCTCAGACTCCTTGATTACAAGTTTTTGGGGACACTGCAGGCCTCCTGCCCAGTATTCATTGCAATCCTGACTCACGTGTATTGGTGTAATCCTTTGACTAATGTCTGTCTCTCCCATGAGACTGGAAGCTCTGTGAGAGGCTCTGTTTATGTTATATCCCCAGACACAGGGCTGGGACACAGCACATGCTCAATGTTGTCAAATGGCAATTGAATAGATAAACAAGCAGAGGCAATTCCCCCAAGAGAATGGCGAGCAGGCTTTGCCATCCTCTGTGGCCTGCGAGGGGGACCTCTGCTCACTCCAGCACACACCTCTGCCCAAGAGAGCTGCCCAGCCCAGGCTGCTGATGAGCTGTGGGGTTCTGAACACCCGGTGTTGGACTGGGACATCAGGAAAGCTGAAGGCAGATAGCCCCCCAGGATGCAGGTGAACCACATGGAGGCCTGGGCAAGATCTACCATAGAAGCTGGATCTGGCCAAATCTGGTGGGATCCAGGGGCAAACAGCACGCTCTAGGGAGGAGAGAAGCCAACGAGAGAAACCCAGGGAGGCAGGAGACAGACGGGAGCAGACGTCGGGGTGGAGACAACAGGGCAGCTTGGATTGGTTGAAGTCCACCACCTTTCGGGGGACAGCCTCAGGGCTCCCAGCCCTCCCCTCAACTACACTGCATCTTCTGAAGGCTCTGCTTCACCTCCTCTGCTCCAACTCAGGACCGGTTGATGGCTCCATTCTTCATCCTCAACTGATCACTCTACACTCCTCCTTTGCCTCTCCCCACCTTCCCAATCTGACTTTCCACAGCTGCTCCATAGAAACCCTGCCCTCAGTCACGGGCATTTCCTTACTGTCCATCACCCTTTCTGTGACTGCTCTGATGGCTGTCCTTCTGCACGCCATTTCCCCTGTGGAATGCCAGCCGTCTTCTGCTGAAGTCCAAAGCCAACCTTCAAGGCTCCATTTTGACCATGAAGTTCTTCCCTAACACCCCAAGCTGCGAGGCCTCCATCCCTTCATGGAACTCCCTTTGTAGGTGGACAGAGACACTCAGTGACATGTAAGTGGTCAGCACTGCTCTGTCTGTGTTCGTCCCATCTCCCCCTTTGGGTCACCAGTTGCTGAAGGGCAGAAAGCATATGTCATATTATTTTGCCTGACACACAGCTGCTTACTAAAGGCTTGATGGATTGATTGAGGGAAAACCTCAGTCGTGACCAGCAGTGGCGTTTATCCAGAACTGTTGCCCATCCCTCATCCTTACGGGGTTGAAGTGCCATGTTTTTCCACTTGGGAATTTCGTATAATTGAAAAGTCTTTCTGAAATTGGAACCTGTCAGACAAGACAGAATTACAAGGTAGCAACTAGAACCAAAAGAATTTGGAAATGGCAGCCAAGTCAGAGGTAGGTATCATGCTGTTATATTTACGCATAAAAAGGAACTGGGCTGGATTTGTTAGAAGGACTAGAACGTCTCACAATACTGTGTGGTTGGCTAAATAATGGCCTCCCAAAGGTGTTTCCATTCTAATCCCTAAAACCTGTGAATGTCACCTTACATGGCAAAACAGATTTCGTGGATTAAATGAAGGCTCTGGAGACGGGGGTGGGAAATGATCCCAGATTACCCAGGTGACGTTGATGTAATCACAAAGGACCTAATTAAAAGGAAGCAGGAGCTCAGAGTGAGCAGTTGGAGATGTTATGATGGAAGCAGGAGGTTGGAGTGATGCAAGCACAGGGCCACCAGGAAGCCCCTGGAAGCTGGAAAAGGCAAGGAAATGGCTTCTCCCTGAAACCTCCAGAAGGAACACAACCCCACCACCACCTTGACTTAACCTACAGAAACCGATTTTGGTTCTTCTGACTTCCAGACTGTAAGAGAATCAATTTGTGTTGTTTTAAGCCTTTAAATGTGTGGTGATTTACTACGGCAGCAATAGGAAACTAATCCGCTATAGAAAGGCCGTCACTGATGGCGGGTGCAGTCTCCTGTTAGAACCTCTCTGGGCCCCTGTTGGAGGGTGGGCACCAGGGAGCTCTGTTCTGGCAGCCGTGTTCTCAGTTGCATGGCAAAGGGCCAGCGCACACATGATTCAAATCAAACTAACAGCCCTCGTGTGTTTCCTCCATGAAGGAGAAGACATTCTGTGGTGGGAGCTGGAAACCAGGGGCTAAAGAACAGGCTACGGGTCAGGGACTCTCATCCTCTTCATTTGACATCCTGTCTAGGGATAGAAAGATTTTCATTTGTCAAAACAAGACTCCTGGGAAGCCTGGAGCTGCCAACAGAGTGCCCCAGTGACCAGCTGATTCCATTGAGTAACTGGTCAATTCAAGGGGAGAAGAATCAGTCAACTCAGCTGGGTTTTCTGAATTGACTTTTATTGTTTCAGATTTGATTTATCTCAAACCCCAGCAGACACCATCTCCTGATTCCCCAGGCAGAGCCCAGATTCTGGTATTTATCAGCAACCTCAGACATCTAAAACTCATCCCCAAAGACAAGCCATCCTTATGTTTACAAATCATGGAATTTTTCAGGCAGTTTGTGTGTAGTCTCATTAAAGACAAAAACATACAAAACAAAGTAGAAAAGCACAGCTTGGTGTCCCATAAGCAATAAATGCTAAAAAAAAAATCAGGACTCCAAACATCCTCTCGGTCCTGTTTATTTTTTCTTATCTGCAAAGGCAAAATGTATACAGTGTCTTCACTGCATAATGTCAGGGTCGATCTATGATAAACTGTAGTTTGATAAGAGGCAGAGTAAAGAGAACTTTATCCTGAGTTTATCCTCAGCAGTGAACTCTTTATACATGAGCCTTCAAACATGGCCACATTTGGGGAAATGAAAGATTCATGGTGATAAATTGCAGTGCTTTAATGCAGTTTATAAAACAAATTTCCCAAACATTTATTTTTCAGTCAAGCTTCTGGCTATAGTTGGGTTAGTACAAGCAACAAAATGAAAGAAACCTCCTAAACATTGACATTGGCACTCAAAAAATAATAAAGAGAAGTCTTAAAACATTTTCAGTATGTTTTCATTCTGAAAATGTGCTGATACAAAATTTCTAAGAATGCCATAGAATTACTAGTTGCCTTTTTTTTTTCTCTTAGGAGTTACAAATACTTAGATTCAGATAATCTAGGTATTTAGGTTCAAATAAATAAAAAGTTCTTTCTACAAAACAAAACAATAGGAATTTCATCCTATGGACCCAGCAGAAGGGAAGCCTTTATTCAGTTCTCAGAGTGATCTTAGCCTCGAACATCCTTGGCTTAATTTAAATGATTAATTTTTCCTAGTCTGTCTCCTTCCTTTATCCCCCAAAGCCCTCATACATTCCTAGGCATGCACAGGCTAATTTACAAGAAAATGCCAAAAAATATATGTAAGTGACATGGACAAAATTCAATGTATTCTGCAAGCCAGTGGTTCTCAAGCTTGAATGGGCACAACTATATGCAAAAAATGCAAAAAGTATGTTACAAAGGGAAAGAATACATTTTAAATGTAATTCTGATTCAGATAGTTCCTGAAATATGGAAATCCTTTCTGGACAGAAAGAACTTAATGAATTTGATTGCCCTTCTAATTGGGGAATGGGAGAGGCATAGCCTTCCATGAACTGATTCCATGAATTTTTATAAAGATTTTCTGGATGAGAATTAGGAAAAAAGAAAAAAAAAAATCATTCCATCTTGCATCTTCTCTAGCCAATTGCCCGTGGGAAGTGGAGCTGAGTTTTTGGGCTGGAGGAGATAGTGTGGTCCCGAGGCAGGGCCCCAACACACTCCTTCCCTCACCCCACTGCCAGGGCATTGACATAACGTTCAACCTAATCCAGCAGAAGTTTCTGGAAAAGTCTGAAAAGAGAACAAAAGGAGCTGCTTTTTCAACTGCATTTTGCGCAAAAGAAGGCAACCCCAGCACAGAACCAGGGTGTTTCTGAGCCCCGTAGAAAGAGGAACTACCTCTTGTCAAACTTTGACCCAGAGATTCATGGGTGGATTTGTTTCGAGGACTGAGGACAATGCTAGCAGCCACTTGGACAGACACCTGGAGAACAAGGAACAGGCCAGGGGAGGCCAGGGAAGTGAGCCCAGACACTCCACCTCAAGACCTTCCATTGCTTCTGCTCTTGGAGACCAGCCAGGTTGTGACTCCTGCTAACTTGCCCATGCAGGGAAAACCAGGCTCTGACAGTCTCCTGAGGCATGTCTCCTGGGAAGCCACAGGTCTGTTTGGCACTAGCTGGGCACCAGCAGGCTGTGTGTTGAGGAGTTTGATCATGTTACAATTTCCATTTTTAACTCTACCAAACACCTCATTCTGTGCTGAGAGTAGACACCTTCTCAGGGACCCAGCCCGAGGTTCTCCAAGGAACCCAGATGGAGTCAGGGCACTGTCCGCTCCCAGAGTCTTTCTCGAAGCAGCCACTGCCCTTTTGGGTTCTCTGTCTCATAGTAGTCCTCCCCACGTGGCGCCAGGGGCTCCAGTGCAAAGAGCTCTGCATCCCATTCCATGTCTTCTCCCGAGAAGTTGAAGAGGATTTGTCTGGAGCTCCCCAGGCTGCAAGGGAGGAATGAGCAGGAGGGTCAAGTTTGTCTTGGCTGACACACAGGGAAGGGATGCTCAGATGACCACCCTACCCCTGGAGACCACCCTGCCCCTGGAGACCACCCTGCCCCTGGAGACCAGCAGATTACTCCCCTGGTCCTGCACCTTGTGGGGGACCAAATAGTGTCATCACGGGAGCTGTGGATGGACCTCACTGGACCTCAGCCTGGCCTTGAAGAGGAAGGATGGGTGACGAGGGCTGGTTTGTGGTTTTAATATGTCCAGTGCACAGTCTACTATTATGGGAGGAAAATGCCACCTAGGAAACCCCAGAATCCCTTAGGATTCAATGGCTTTTGTAGAAGCGAAGGAAAACAGCTGCTGAGTCCTGACAGGGCCTTCTGCTCTGAGAGGCGAGGCCCCGCAGCAAGGCCTGGGTGGGCAAAACCCCGAGAGAACTCACTGCTCTGAGTCGGCAACAGGAATCTGGGGTTAGTGATGGTAAATAGTCTTAGGACAGGAAAATCTGGAGGCAAAGAGGACAACGGAGATGTCCCAAGAGGGGCCCGGCCAGCAAGACGTTCTACATCTCAGCGCCTGGCCAATGCCTTCCATGCACCGGCATCTGAGTCACTTGACATCAGTTCCCTCTTGGTGCTCCGCTCTGTTCAACCCAAACTCTCATTAAAAATCTGAGACGCATGACGCATTAGTGGCGTTTAGGGAAAACAATGAAAGCAGAAGGCACAAAGCATGAGGGCTAAGTGGGCCAGACCCCAGGCCAGAGCAAGTCAGGAGTAGGCAAACGCAGTGAACCAGGCCAAAGAGTAGACAACCGACAAAACAACTCTTTTAACTAAGACCTCCCACCCCAAAATATACAAGAATATTTGTTGGCAAGAGGGATTGGGCTCAAGGCACCTTAAGAACTACCCCAAGCATCTGGAGGACATGAGAACATCCTTGGTTATGCTATTTAGCCCGAGCACTTACTCTTTTTTGCAGGCTTTGGGTTTAAATTTCAAGGTGTTGAATGCCCCTTCCACAGCCTTGGGCAAATAAATGGGGTGCCTCTCGAGTCTCCTCTGAGTGCCGATGGTCCTGCGCTCGGTGCTCCTTCGAAACTGGCCGTCCGCGGTGTGCAGGGCGTGCACGGCGATGTCCTCGGAGTGTCTGCGCGGCGCTCGCAGGATCCAGTTGGAATGCAAGCTGTGCTCCCGGGAGCTGGTGGCCACTGGAAGAGAGAAGCGGGTGACCCGGGAAGGGAGTACTCGCCATCGGGAGGAGCATAAGGCAAAGGAAACAGTTCCTCGAGCTGAAACTCACAGCAAATGGGCAGAGACGACCATGTTCGTAACAGCAAAGTCTTAGAAAGGCCTTTTGACTCTGCAGTTGGGGGATACAATGGAACGTCGTGTCCATTAAAAATGAGGACACGGATCTATATTTATTGACTTGGAAAGATGCCCAAGATGTGTTATAAATTGTTAAGTGAAAAGAGTCCCATTTTTGTTTCAAAAAAATTAAAGCAGGTCTGTGCATGTATGTTAAAAACACTTGAGAAAGGACATACACTGGAATGGTAACAGTGATGATTATCTCTGGGTGGTAGTATTATCATAGGTCATATTTTTTACTTCTTCATACTTTGGTGTGTTGTTCGATTTGATTTACAATGAACATATATTATTGTTGTTATCAGAGAAAAATGGCCATTTCATGACACAGTCATTTTCTTTAAAACAATTATAACTGTGAAGATGGCACTTGCATCCTCAGTGAATTTTGTCGTCTTTTTGCCAAAGTCCCAGATTTCCCAGGGCGAGGGCTGCTTTCTGCCAGGGACTGGAGGGGCTGCAGGAGAGGAGGGCTGATGGATCACCTGCAAGTGCGAATGAGCTTGGGGAACAGGGGGAACCTTCGTGAAATTGCACAGAACCTGGTTTGAGAACCCAAGTCTCACAGATGCACATCTATCTAGGCTGGAACAACAGTGGTAAATCACAAGCTTGTCGTCTTTTGAGCATTAGACAAAACACTCAGGCATGATTTAATATTGGTACCAAAAGCTGTTATCTTAGTATCCAGGGGCCAGGAACACTCCCCTCCCCTAATAAAACTGCACCACAGGTGGCCAAAGATTAAAGAAACTGAAAATTGAGCGATGGAATCTAAAAGTGGGCTAGACTTGTGAACGTGTTTGGATTCTTTGCTCGCCACCAAAAGGGAGCCCGTGCCACGCCTCAGTAAGGAGAAGCATGACCTCAGTCCTCACCCTGGCCCCTTGTCCAGAAACCCAGGCTGGGCCCAGGCAGGCCCCCTGGGCCTCTCCTACCCTGCACACCACCTACTTCCTAGCCTGGGTAGGGTTAGAGCTGGGTTTTCAAATACAGTTTGTTCCCTTTCTTCTTAAAAAACAATTGTGGTGAATTGTCCATAACTTAAGATTTACCATTGTCACCATTTTTAAGTGTGCAGTTCAGTATTCACACTGTTGTTTGAGTAATCTCCAGGACTTTTTCATCCCAAAAAACTGAAACTCTGTACTTATTAATCAACACCCCCTACACCCTCAGAGTCTCTTTCTTTAATCATGTCCCTATTGCTTTCCTTGGAGTCTCAGGAAAGTCCCGCTTGTCTCAGCTGTGGTAAGTGGACCACAGGGAGGGAGTTTTTGTCCCAACATGGCCCCAGACATTGGAGGGGCAGGCTGGAGTGGTGGCAGCTGGGACAACTGAAGCACAAGGTCCCCAAAGAGGATGGCTAGGGGGCCAGGTTGTGGCTTGCAGGGCTTCCCTCTAATCAGGGAGGTGGGATTTCTGATAGCCTGTCTCGTAAGTCCACCCCAGTGTCCCCAGCCCATCCGTGCACTGCACCACAGCCCTGCCCCGCTTCGGCCACCAAGCTCCCACTGCCTTCCCCTAGACTCACCATCAAAGTCCACGTCTTCATTTGGAGAGGCAGCCTCAGCAGCCCGCGGCCGCCGCTCTGTGTCCAGCTCTGCAATGATGGAGTCAAAGAAAGCCATGGCCTCGGCCACGTCGGCGCTGAACTGCGAGTATTTCTTCGAGGCTGGTTTCTGCCAGAGGAGAAGAGAGAGTTGCCTGAGATGCCAAAAAGGGTTAAATATTGCTAACACAAAATGCACATGGAGTTTGGTACTTTTAGGGTTTCAAAGGCAAATTTGAGTAAGTGCCCTGTGGAAGGAAGGTGGACGCTTCCAGTCCGTACCTGCCATGGGGCAATGAACTTCTAGTTATCGCAAGGAGGCGGAGTGAGAGGACTACAAGGTCCACTTCTTTCTTGGTCGTGGAATTGTTATCAGACATTAGGCAAAATAATCAGTCTTTCTTTGGCTTTGTTCCCTGCTCACAAACACCCAATTAGGAGACTGTACATTTCCTTAGGTAGGTGATGAGACGCTCACAGCAGGAAAGAGACGAGACATGTTGAAAATGCTCTTATACGAGTTGTCCGTTTCTAACAGGGCCAAATGTGGGCTCAAGTCATGGAATAAATTGAAATGAGTATGATTGTTTAAACAGTATAAGGGAAAATAAAATATACAGTTAAGAAAAATCTATTCAGTGCCTGACCAGGTTTCAGGCTCTGTCCTCATTCCCCTTCGTGATCGCGTGTTGTCTGCACAATATAGTCCCCAAATGGTGATGAGCAAGTGACGTCACGGACATTCAAACACCGCAGTGGGCTTCAACGGAGAACTCACGATCTCCAGAACTGACAAAGTCAACATGTGAAGTAATGACAAGCTCTCTGGGGAATACAGGAAATAAGAGGACTTGGGGAGAAAAAAAAGGACAAATGTCTTAACCTGGGCCCTTTGAACTCCTTTGACCAAATGTAGAGTTTTTTTATTTTATGTGGGATGGTACTAAAAGTGAACATGATTAAATTACAGACTGGTGTGTTGGGAGGGAAAAGAACAGCACCTCTATGTGTGACACAGTTAGGAAACAGGCCACCCATCACCGCCTGAGCTCCACACCATCCTACCCCCGCCCACAACTCTCCACCCCACCCCACCCCAGTCCGTGGAAAAATTGACTTCCATGAAACCAGTCCCTGGTGCCAAAAAGGTTGGGGACCACTTTACAGCATTTGATGATTATGTTTTTTCACAGTATTTTCTTTGTATGTCAGTTTTGGTCATTTCTTTTGACCCATCCTCAAGTTTTCTGATTCTTTCATGGTTGTATCAAGTCTACGGATGAACCCATCAAATGCATTCTTCATCTCTGTTACTGTGCTGTTCATTTCTAGTCTCTTCATTTGATTCTTTCTTACAGCTTCCATCTTCCTGCTGGAATTCTCCATCTGATCTTGCATGTTTTCCACCTTTTCCATTAGGGCTTTTAACATATTAATTATAGTTTTTAAAAAAATTCTCTGATGGTTCCAACATCTGTGTCATATCTGAGTCTGATTATATCAGTTGCTTTGTTGCTGGGCACTGCATTGTTTTCTTGTTGCTTTTTCATATGACTCATAATTTTTGTGGAAAGCCGGGCCTTTTGTGTAGGTCAATAGACACCGAGGTTTCTATGCCTGGAAATGGTTTTTCCTTTGGTTAAGCCTGTAGTTTGGCTTAGAGTCAATCTAGATAAGAATTTAGTTGGGATTGGGGCCTGTCGCTGCTATAGTTACTCCAAGTGCCTCACAGACTGAATTTCTCTAGTAATGCCTTGTATTTAAAGTAGAGGCTAATTTTCCAGAGAGTTTCTCCTCAACGTCTTCTGCAACCTCAGCTTTAGGTCTTCCCTTTGTGCTGCCCTCAAGAGAGGGTCTCTCTCTATGCCTTTGCCCCATCCTAGCAGTATTCCGCTGCTATTTACTATGTGATGCTTGTTAGCACGGCGGCTAGAGGCAGGAGGGCATGCACTGCTTTTCTGATTAGCCCCCAGTTTCGGGCAGGCACTCTGTCCCTGGGGATGTGGCCTTCTCTGTAGCCTTGCCCTTCCTCCAGCTGTAATTATGAGCCCGGGATGCCTTAGAAATCCCTCCCATACTCCCCTCTTCTACTAAAGTTTTTGTTCCAGGGGGAGATAAGAAAGAATGATCTGGGCAGGGCTCCCTGAACTTCCCTCAGCAGCCGCTGTTCCCTCCCCGAGGCCTGCGCCGTAAGGACACTTTCGCAGGACTCTCTGCCAATCTTTGGTGAGCACCCGCTGAGGTTCCTGGAGAGTGAAGGTGAACTCCATCTACGTCTGCAGCCTCAGGGACTCCCCACTCTCTCCCCTCTCATACACGGCCACCACCGATTTGTCAACAGCTCTAGGTGAAGTCTTCCTACCAGCGTCTGTATGTATCTGCCCCAGGGAGGCAAGTGTAGTCATTCTGTCTCTCCCTGAAGGTTGATCTCCTCCCTTAGAGTTCGCTTTGGTTGGTTTCCCTGAGACCTCAGTTCTCTGGTGGTTTCAAAAAACAGTCATGAACTTGCAGTTTGTCTGTTTTTTGTTGTTGTTGTGAGGATGGGAGTGAGAGTCTTTCCAGCTCTCAAAATTCTGAACAGAAACTGACAGTCTCTCCAATTCGAATCAAGTATTATAGGTTTCATACTTAAATTCTTTAATTTATATTTGTACCTCTTTTACACTGAAAATCTTGGTTCTATATAACATTAACAAAAATTGCTTATTTATATTATCACATATAATAGTTTCAAAATAATAACACCAACATTATTAATAGTAAGCCCACTGAATGCAATTTAAGATGTGTCTCTGTGTGTGTGTGTGTGTGTGTGTGTGTGTGTGTGTGTTGTCCTTGGAATGTATAACCAAAATTCTGTTTTAAAGTCCCTTGAAATAATTCTTTTCTGTGCGATTATGCTGTTGACTTGGTAATCAGTTAGGTTCATAAGCTTCAGTTGGTTTTCATGCTTTAGGGATTGCTTTTTTCCCTTTTGATTTAATGCTTTAAAAGTATGTAAGCAATATGCCTGGTTCCCAAACCAAAACTGTAACTAACATTCAAGAGAGGGCTAGCTTCCATGCCAGCCCCTTCTCCTCATTTTCTCTATCCCTGTTTTAGTATTTTGTTTATCTTTCCATCATTTCTTTTTGAAAATATAAGCGAGCATGTGTTTATATTTGTATTCACTCACTTTTTTACAAAAACAAAAAGGAGCATCCCATATCCACCTGTGAACATTGCTTTCTTCACTCAATGTGTCCTGAGGATTACTCCATAGCAGTGAATAGAGGCCCTTCCCATCCGTTTTAATAGCTTCATTGTCCTCCATACAGATACTCTGTAGGAACAAAGGCCAGTCCCCTATCGATGGATCTTTGGGTTGTTTGCTATCTTTTGCTATTACAATCAGTGCTGCAATGAAAACTCTTGTGTATATGTCCTTTTGCATTTTGCCTGTAATAATGCTACAGTGCGGGGTAGGCTTCTCCTTGTAAGTACCCAGCGTGCTATGGGTGTTTTAGAGAGAGAATGGTAAGCAACAAGAGATCTGGCAAGTTAGTTAAGTAGGATTTGGTTAACAGAGCTTCTATCGTCCTTTCTATAAAGTATACTTTTAAATGTCTCCAGATGGATTTTGTGCTGATTTTCTAAGTACGAAGTCTAAGCTACAAGTCTGGGCTGAGTCTTTTCAAGCCCTGGATTGAACTCAGGCTGATTTCAGCCTTTTCTGCCTTCTCACAATTTCCATGGGGCTTTCTGACCTACACTAGGACATTCCCTTGGTGATTCCTTCGGGCTTAAGCTAATGTCACAGGAAAATCTACTTTACAAAGAGATGGTTGTGCAAAATGAGACTTCAGTCATCAACACCCCTGGGTGAGACCCCAAACTGTCCTCCTTCCCTGAACTCACAACTCCAGGCAAAAGTGGATCAGCTTCCCTCCCACTCTTGACTCTTCTAGCCCAGACCTTTTGGTCTTTGGAAAGGCTGAATGTGATGCAGCCTGCTTCATGTTGCAGCCCGGCCCGGCCTGAGTTTCACGGGGCCGTGCTCCTCTGCGATCAGCCCTGCCGCAGCCCCAGCGAGAAGGCACTTTCTCTGACAGCATCTGTATCACATTGCGGACTCCACTCCAGTTTGCCTTTCACATTTAACCCTCCATGGCCTCAGGGTTATCATTTTCCAAACCTCCCCTGCACCATCTCCCCAGCCCAGGCCTGGGCCTCAGATTACTTTTCCCAGATGGAATCCTTTGCATTTTTCCAAACCAAACTCCACTGTATTTCTCATTTTAATCTCTAATTCCTTGAGGGCAGTTTCTGACAGGTTTCTGCATTGCATAGCAGCCTGTCATCCTGCCTGTTTTGACCCGCCCTCTGGGTACCTGGGCTGCCCCCTTCTCCAATCTGTTCATTTTCTTCTGCGCTCTGTCAGTATTTAGGTGCAAGAGACCTGAATTCCACAAAACGAAACTCCCGACATTCTGTAGGAGGGGAGAGGAGGGGACATTCTAAACCCACCCAATGCCAAAGAGACCACCACTAAGCATCCGTACCCCTCTCACGTCTTTTACTCGGCAACTACCCTCACCTCCTCAGAGGGTCCAAACCGCTCACGTGTCACCTCCGCTCTGAAGCTTTTGCCAACTGCAGCAGGCAGACCCGGAGCATCTTTTCTATGCTTATTTCCAGTCTTGTGTGGATAGGTCCACTGCAGCACTTCGTGTTAATCCACACTAGACCAGTGATCCTGAACCTCTTCTTTGAGTGGGTTTGGCAAACAACACTTACAAATATGACATGCCCCCTTTTGATAAATACTCACTGCCGGCTGCTGCATAGAGGAGAGAGGTTGTAGGATGCTCACAACTCCCAACATTCTGGTTGTAATTCTACCTGTTTTTCTTCCAAGACACCTTAACATACCAGTGTGGTTCAGTCGCTGCTTCAGACTATGGGCTGCATTGGGGCAGACATATTGTCTTTCCATCTATGAATGCAGAGCACCTATTCTAGTGCCTGACACAGAGTAATAAATTTGTTGAGTGAATGAATGTATGCTTCTATATACATGTCATTACATAATGTTTATATTCTCCAACCAATTTTCATGTTGCTAATGTATACTTGTGGATTGAACTTGGC